CAACGAGGAAGAATGGTTGCGCATTCCACTCTGACAAGTGCCAAAACAGAAGAATTCCTATGATAACACGCATTGACCCTTAAGAGAGTAGCACAAGCCCGGTATAAAACGAACTACGCAAAAGAACTTACACGGCACAATTGCACACATGAAAATAAACCCACGCTGTAAGATTGGATGCTGCATAAATATGCTAGAGATGTATCATAAAAACTAGTGCTAGAAGCTTATTCGTTGATTATACTACTATAACAGTGAAAGAATAGAAGTATAAAGTAAATTTAGCGTACTCAGGCATTCTGTGATGTGAGTTTGCATTGCACAGCGCACGCATAACTGACGCCTTAACCCTCCAGGGTTAGTTTAACCCTCAGGGTTTATTGGCCGTATTCATCAACCATAGGGTTCGTTGATGGATACGGCCACAGGTTCGTTGATCGATACGGGTAGATCGTGTTCCGTGGTAAACCCTAGCCTATGGTTGATGAATACGGCCAATGAACCCTGAGGGTTAAACTAACCCTGGAGGGTAAGCTTAACCCTCAGGGTTCGTTGATGAATACGGCCACTGGATAAGTGCAAAATCTATATTCCATCAATGTATACCTCAAGAAAATGTTCAGCTTCATTCCTTGAATCCGACTGCGTTAAGCAGTGATTGGTAATCACATTGTGCATTGCCGTATTGGCAGGAACGAATGTGGTGGATGCATGCCAACATGGTTTTACTCGGCATAGCACCAACATTGTACGCGATCAAAACAATAACTGCAACTTGAAGCTCAGCAGAAACTCTTGTTCAACAGGATCCAGAACGAGCATTGCATTGAAATCCACCACCATAACAAAACGGTCGGTCTGCTCAAGATAAAGATAAGAGCCGCAAGTCTAATCTGCTCCAAAGAATCGATAACGTACACCAGAAGTACGGTTCTTCGGGTGTACTCAGCTGTCAGATGCTCCCAAACAGGCTCATGCCACGGAACTGTGTGTGACACAATCAACCGTAACGATACCGTTCCGGAGCTGTCGCAAGCAAGAGACTTTCCAGGATACATTGAATGTCAATACACTTGCGGAGGGATAAGCTGCGGCTGCCTCCTGCCATCCCCCTCCTGCACCTTCTATAAGGTCGCTCATATGCCCGTGTCCGGAACGGTGCATGAAATTATACGATGCAGTGAATGGACACCATCACTGCACATCAAAGTGGAGAACAGCTTATCTCAAGTAACCCGGAAAGAGGGCATCGTGGGTGGGGGAACGAAAGCCGCCAGGTCCAGCCGCCTCCGCGGACTGCTGGTCCTGGAACAACATGCAACAACGCTGCGAAAGGACCAGCTGGCCGCGAAAGGCAGCTGGACCTGGCGGCTTTCGTTCCCCCACCCGGGCATCGTCTTGACTCCGTACATAACGGCCAAATTGCGAGAATTCAATATCACCGCCATATCTGTACAAAGTTCGCACCTACCAGTGCTGAACAGAAGGTTCGCCCTGTCAAACGACATTTCAGTCATTCTACCCGACGACTTCAGGGTGCCAGTCGAATATGCGATACGGAATGAAGCAATGAACAACTTCAAGAACTACGTTAACAAAATTATTTGCGATTGCAACACAGGATGGACCAAGTATCATTGCCACTGTCCATATTACTCGTTGCATACTGTAGAAGATAACAGCAGTTATCGATTACCCCTACTGACCCCCTCCATAGAAATACATTCCAATGGCTCGGCACTGTCAGCCCTAGTCAAGGACATTGAGGCGATTGTGATAGTTCAATCCAACATCTTGCTCGAAAGCGCTGATTTTGCCTTCGAAGAAAAATGTGACATTAGACTGAGCAACATAGCTAGGTGTTACAGTTGTCTACCAGGGGCCAAAATGGGACAATAAATGGGACATGCGTGTCGAAGGATCCTACAGGGATCACTATTTCATGCGACGAGATCTCATTTCCTGTCCAATGTGGTCCAACGAAACCGTCAACCATGATGTTGCGACATTTCGATTCCGCAGTAGTTCAGCGAAAGTGCCATACAAGCTGTGGCGACCGAAAATGGGTCCTGCCGTTGAATGGAACGCTGTTTACCACCACTCCAAACATGATTCCGTGTTCAAATTTAACGAAGAAGACCAAAAATCCATGAGCTGGTTGGATATGATCTATGACTTATGTACATGTACCTGACCTCCATCCACTGATTATGGTCATAGAGAACCACTGGAAAGCCTTTGTGGCCGCTGGAGTTGCGGCACTTGCAGCAGCAGGCCTCACCTATCTGTTTGGGCCGATAGTTATCCTCACTGTGATAAAACTGGTTTTTGGTGCAATCGCGTGCCTACTATGTGCCCTGCTGAAGTGGCCAAAGTGCTCGTGCAATGCGCTAGACAGACTTGTAGAAAACAATAATCATATTTATCATCGGCTCCACGATTCGTGTAGAGGCGGGGTTTTGCCAACTCAAAGCGTGGCGGTTTTTGATAGCGAGAGAGTACAAAAAACAATGCTATGACGTGGAGGTTTAACAAGTTTACCTGTATTAACAGGAAAAGTCTGCAATACACCTCTACCCGAATCGTGGAGACGATCATACTTTAGCTTTGATCTTCATCAGGTGCAATATCTCTTCACGTTGGTCAGGATCAAACAAGTTTACACCACGTCATCGTCCCTAGATGTCTTCCACTAGCCACCCAACTCCCCGTATTGTCTTCTCAACCTCTGGACCCCATCGACACAAGGATTGGATCAACAAATGGAACAGTAATTGTATTTTAATTACCCCTGCTATTCTCCTTCGGTTTGTTGATGTTTGAATTTGTTTATGTTTATATGTTTAGATTTCTTTGACATCTTCTTCTCACTGTACATTTTTGCCTACATTGCTGTCGCCCCGGAGTGTGCCGATATTGTCGGCACCCCGTTTCATTCCATATCGCTTCTCGCATATCATTCGCTTAAGCACCGTTATACCTCCGTTAAAGGATATTCGTCGACGACAGCCCCGTTTGGTGCATTCACACCACAAAGCGTGTGCGTTTCTGGAACGGTTCCAGCTTTACAGTATGCTGCGGCGCGCCAGGAATATGCACTTCGCGCCATACTTGTCCTATAATTTCCAATCCATCTTCTTGCCTGCGATCGGCAATCTTGCTTCGATTACGCAATTCGCTCCGCTGTCAACCATTTCGCTGCGTAGAAATCATAGATTTTGTTGCCTGAGTATCATTTGTTTTGCATGTGGTCTGCTCGAAAGTGCAAATTGGATGACAGCATCGCTTTTACGCAACATTGGACTCCACATCCACAAAGATGAACTTCCTGTGAGTTTTTTGCTTGGTTTTGATGTGTTGAGCCCTCCTTCCTTACTGATGAGTTCCGGGGAGGGCTCCTTTCTATTTTTGATTAGTTTTTTTGCCATTTTTTCCGTCTAAGGAAAGGAACGAAACGGAATTTTTGATTTTGTTGTTTTTTGTTCAGTTTTTTTGGCTCGTTATTAGATCATACCTTTTTTTGTTGTTGCGAGCCATACTTGTCCTATAATTTCCAATCCATCTTCTTGCCTGCGATCGGCAATCTTGCTTCGATTACGCAATTCGCTCCGCTGTCAGCCATTTCGCTGCGTAGAAATCATAGATTTTGTTGCCTGAGTATCATTTGTTTTGCATGTGGTCTGCTCGAAAGTGCAAATTGGATGACAGCATCGCTTTTACGCAACATTGGACTCCACATCCACAAAGATGAACTTCCTGTGAGTTTTTTGCTTGGTTTTGATGTGTTGAGCCCTCCTTCCTTACTGATGAGTTCCGGGGAGGGCTCCTTTCTATTTTTGATTAGTTTTTTTGCCATTTTTTCCGTCTAAGGAAAGGAACGAAACGGAATTTTTGATTTTGTTGTTTTTTGTTCAGTTTTTTGGCTCGTTATTAGATCATACCTTTTTTTGTTGTTGCGAGCCATACTTGTCCTATAATTTCCAATCCATCTTCTTGCCTGCGATCGGCAATCTTGCTTCGATTACGCAATTCGCTCCGCTTGTCAGCCATTTCGCTGCGTAGAAATCATAGATTTTGTTGCCTGAGTATCATTTGTTTTGCATGTGGTCTGCTCGAAAGTGCAAATTGGATGACAGCATCGCTTTTACGCAACATTGGACTCCACATCCACAAAGATGAACTTCCTGTGAGTTTTTTGCTTGGTTTTGATGTGTTGAGCCCTCCTTCCTTACTGATGAGTTCCGGGGAGGGCTCCTTTCTATTTTTGATTAGTTTTTTTGCCATTTTTTCCGTCTAAGGAAAGGAACGAAACGGAATTTTTGATTTTGTTGTTTTTTGTTCAGTTTTTTTGGCTCGTTATTAGATCATACCTTTTGTTGTTGTTGTTGTTGTTGTTACTTTCTGCTGGACTTCTCATACTTGCCTAGGGATTTGTGTTTATTGTTTATCAATGTTCATTGCAAAAGACCAGGCAGTGCCCATTGTTCATCACTAATCATTGTTCATCACGTTTATTGATGACCAGTGCACTGCTCAGCGAGGAACATTGATAAGCAATCATAATGTTTATTGTATCAGGTCCTACTGCTTATTTAACAAATACTAAAGACTGAGGGACTATCATAGGTACTCACTAGGCGTGGGTGTCAGAAACTATGTTGCACTATATCCATTTTGAGGCAATTTTCTTAAGCAGCGGACTATTACCCTCAATAGTAGCAGTAGGACCTGATACAATGAATGTCCGAGGAGCAGGTGCTCATTGGACTAACATTTCTTTTCGATATCTAATTACTGTTGTTCATGACTCATCACCTTAGTGCAGAGGGGTAGAGCGAGACATCAAAATTACTCTTTTGCCTGCTTCATCTGGGAGTTTTTTTTTGCTGAATACATCACATATACGAACATACACGTTTCATTTGATGTTACAATGTAGGAAATACTACTTTGTACTGCAACTTTGTACTATAACAACTACTACTTTGTACCACAAACTATCACTCCAGTTCATCCTCTTGATCTTCTTCCTCTTCGACTTCTTCAGAGGATTCGTAAGTATCATCCGACGAACTCTCCTCTGCGCGGTCAATTTCTTCCTTGGAACGTGCTGCAGCTTCTTCTTTTCGTGCAAAGCGGAACCAAGCTGATGTGAACGACGGAGGTACGCTACGCATCCATTGCACTGCCCTTGCTCTTACCTAATGCTTGATTTTTTGCTTGAATTGCACTGCCTTTACCACTTACCGTGTCGATTTTATCCGTAACTTTACCATACTTAGTTAAATGAGCCTTCAGCTGGCTCCAACATTTTTCGATGGGGTTGAAGGTGCAGTGGAACGGTGGCAGACGTATCAAGTTGACTCCTAATTCGGCACACCTGCGATCCACAGCATACTCTCGAAGTGCGTCTCGACCCCCTCTGGCCTCTATGTAGTCGTGAAGCTAAACTTCTCAAAATAACGGTTAGCATAAAGATAGGAAAATGTCACCTGATCCAGAAGGACGGCTTTTGTAACATCATTTCTCACTGTGACACCCTTCGAGGACAAGTATCCAGCTATTTCTGCTTTGGTCGAACTGGTGCTGGGTATTTTTGCAATCTGTCTGCTGTGATAGGATGCGTTATCCATGATTAGTGTAACTCGTTTTTCTCCTGCCCAGTTCTTCATGTGGGGGATGGAGTGCTCTAGCCACTCTTCAAAGAGCTCATGATTCATGTCTTCGTGATAATCATCACGCTCATCCCTTTTACCACAGATGACCATTCTTGTGCATCCTGGTATCACTCCGTCCTCCGCCATCGCCCCGATCACTATTGCCCTGACACCCTTATTTTTTCCAACGCTCCTACCACATGAATATTTTTCCAGCATCTCTTTCGGTGCGAATCTTGGAATGTTGTTGTCATTCCATCCTCTTGGTTTGACCATGCCGGAGAAAATCCAAGTTTCGTCGGTGTATATTAGGCAATCTCCGTGCTCCCTAGCCTCTTCGATCAGTTGCAGATATTTCGAGCGCTTTTGGATCAAATCAGCTCTTTGATAAATGACTTTTTGATCATCATTCATTCTGTAGGAGAACCCTAAAGCTCTGACAAGCTCATATAGGGTGGTGCGCGACATGCAGAAGTTGTTATATTCTGCTTGGAGGAGGGAGTGAAGCTCAGTTATAGTAACGTCTTCTTCGTTCCTAAGTCTTCCGTGTATAGCTTGCTTTACCTTCTCGCCCCATTCCTCTCCATATTTGTTGAGCGTTCTTTGGCGTCTTTGTTTTTTGGATAGTGGTGGTCTCCTGCTTGCTCCAGACCTTTTTGCGGCTTGATGTACATCTTCTGGAATGCGTTTTACTACGTCTTCAGACACACCACATGCTGAAGCCGTTAATTTTCGAGGATGTTGGAATATGACGCGTGCGCACGTCCCTGCCATTGCTACTTTGAGTTCCTCGAAAAATTCTCTGACTTTGCGAATTATCGACTTTGCTTCCGCTCCGTATTTTGGACAAAGGCGAGACGTTCTTAACAATCTTCTGCTCTCTATCTCAAAAAGCTGACTAGCACACCGTCCTTCACAAGTGGCGCCGCTGCCTTGTCTATCGCAATTGGGATTCTGAAACACGCAATTTTTGTCATTTCCTTTTTAGAGGGGACGTTCGTACGGCGCGGAGTTTCCAACTGCCATCACGAAAAACAATTTGAATTATCTGGCGATCTGCTATGTTTGCTCCACAAGATACCTGGGGTTCAATACTCGCTGAGTGCGTTCAAATGCCAGTCTGGCAATAACGATCCGCGCCTTACGACCCAGATTCCCTCTTGAGTATGTTAGATTAGTATGCAGCTTTAGCACTACCTCTTTCAGCTACAAAGCAATGCGAATGTGGTGATAAAGATCTTAGGTAAGCAAAAAACATTTTTATGTGTGTGTCAGTGCAGAGTCGCAAAGGTGTAGAATCCTTTGAGGTTCTTACACTTCACGACCTCACACCAACGAGACCCTTCTCCGAGCAGTCTTCAGCATGACTTACTTGATGCAGATAAGAATATAGTGTATAGTAGAATATAGTAGAATATAGAATATCGAATATAGCAGAGGTAGCAGACAGTGAATAAATACAGATTCAATAGATGTAATAGTTGATAGTATAGTTGAGTATGATGTGAATGGTGCCGTCATAAGGTCTTTACAGCGTGTGAATAATGAATTGTGAGTAGTGTGCCGAGTATCCGAAAGGCTGAATCTAGAAAAGCTTATGGTCGTACCCTAAATACGGGACGAAACGATGTTTGTCGGACAACGCTGAAGCCAAGAGCAGATTGAGTGGTTGTGTTCGCACCGCAGCTGATGTGACCTGGCGAGCCCTATAGAATGCTGAAGTGTGACTAAGGATAAAAAGTAAATAACACAAATATAAAGCTTACGGAGCGGAGCTTTTTCGCAGTCGCGATGATATTCGGAACTTTCATCTCCACGAGGACCTGCCGCTGTAATGTATTTTTTGCCAATTATTCTGCTACTTGAACTTTCTTCAAGAAAGTTAAAGCGAAGACTGCACAATGAAAACTGATGGTGTAACTAAGAGGTAAGGGGTACATTTAGCAACAATACGTAGTTAGAAATTACTGTTTAGTTTCCAAGCAATGAAAAAGCAAAAACACGTTAATAACTTCAAAATTCTAACCTGTTCCTCGTGCGATGTCAGTGGAGTTTCCTAAACGAATGAAATCAACAAAGTATGGAGAAAGATAAAAAAAACAAAGTAGGTGTTTCGCCTCTCAACCCTAGACACCATTATTTAACACCAATTTATCCCTCCTCGAGGCTCGTCAGTAGGGTAGGAGGGATATAGAACATAATAAACAGAATGGAAAAGAAGGAAAGTAACTCACCTGTCTAGAACGCAGTAGCGCAGCGGTGACTTTGATGTCTCTGACGCAGAACTAAAACAAACACTTGCATGGACTGATTTGATGGCAAATAGGAGACCACTTTAAAACATTGAAACAAAACCTGCACTTTCTGCCGTATGCAGAAACACTACGTGTTATTATTCAAGAAAAAACTCACTCTTTTGCCTGAACCGGCTTGAGGAGACGGCACCACATAAACATCCTATAAAAATGGCCAGTCTGATAAAACACTAATATAAGACATCATACCTGTACATTCGCGAATCGTGAGCTGCACCCTTCGAGGTTCTGAAATGGATCTGTGGAAGCAAGAGAAAAGAATTCTTGAGTCGCTTGCAAACCTCTTTATTTTCCGCCATCTTACGATCCACCAAGCTAGAACTTGTAGAAAATTTTACGATCGAGTAAGCCTGCAAGAAAATTGGGATGAACATGTGTATGGAATGAAAACTATGAAGAAGAAATCACGAGAAACGCTTGCAATGGAGAAAAAATTCACAAGAAACGCTTGAAACGGTCAAGGAGGTTATAGGACGAACACGCCGCAAACTGCATATTCCTGGCGCGCCGCAGCGTACTGTAAAGCTGGAACCGTTCCAGAAACGCACACGCTTTGTGGTGTGAATGCACCAAACGGGGCTGTCGTCGACGAATATCCTTTACACTCTGGTATAAATACCATTTTGAACTGTTGACCATAACAGGGGCTGTGGATAACAGGTTTATTTGGTGCACGTATTGGAGCGGAATTCGATGAGAACGAATTATAATACAGCAGCACCGTGAGTATGTTGTATAAACTGATTAACATACGAGCAAGAAACGGTGAGGCCGTTGTAGAGCGCGATATGATCGCGGATTATCGTACATGTTATGGAAGAACAATTAATCAACATAGATCTAGAGACTCTTACTCGTAAAGATTCGTGAGACATCAAGCTATATAGGCATCGGAACCTGACAGCGAAACATATGCGAGATAATGTGACCTGCGCATTTATGTGAGCAATTATATATATGAGAGTAGTGACAGTATTGGATCATGCTAGAGTACCAGCTGCAGGATATGCTACTGGTGCGTGACAAATACATGGAAAAACACAAATCTAAGCGCAAATGGTGCTCTCAGCTTACGGGTACTATAACGAGAGAAAATCTAGAATGCAACACGACTACCTAAATGTCGGCGTGAGGATCTGTGGGTAGAGGAAGTGCCTTAGGGGCTATGTAGCAACGGAAGGCATTGTCTGATTTCCATCTACCGGCTTGCATCACTGTAGCTTGCTCGCAGCCCAAACTGAGAGCCAGAGAAGCCGCGCCACCCCTGAAAGAATGGGAATTTAAGTTCAAATGCTCTAGTTTGCAAGCCCTGAAAAGGAGTTTGAGCCTTTGTCTAAGTGTCGCACATGTGAGAGGTTGCGCAGTTGATTCGGACTGGAATAAGAAAATTGCGCTTGTGCGTGTAGAAAGATATTTGTGCAATAGGGCCCTCTCTATTTTGTCTAAAAGAATTGCGCAAATGACCCCTCTACCGTATTGATCGGTTTTGGATTTTGCAATGTTGAGGTTGTACTTTCCGCCACACACGTGAATCACGTCGGTTACGCGGAGAAGTTGTGCTTCACTAATCCTTAGCAAAGCTTTGAACTGAAGCAGTGCTAATGTAGCCGCTTGAGTTACCTTAGCATCTGTTGACGAAAGGCCTTCCAGAACCAAAGTTCGCATAGATTTCTGATCTATTTTGGGTCGATGCTTCACCTCCGGGGCTGTTCTGCGCTCCGCTTCTAAGATGGAACGTTGGATTTCTAAGTCTGCTCCCGATAAGGATCCGCAGAAATAGTTGAGTGACGCGACGAGGATCGGCAAGGACTTGCTCCTTCCCTCGAAAGCGCATTTTGCCAAGTAGAGATTCCTAGCTTTTGGGAGGGGCAGTGGTGAAATTCCTGTACTTTCCTTCCAAGCGATGAATCTTTGCAATTCAGCTTTGTATGATTTGATCGTAGTTGTGGCCCTATCCGTCTGCAATGCGTTGGAGATCACTGAGCCGATAGTCCTCAGGTCTAGTCGGTTCGCCATGGCTGTCAGAGCTGCTCCCTCGGAGAAGCGTGGTGCTGAAATAGAAAATCTCAGTATAACCCCTTACTGGGGAGGGAGGGAGGGCCGCTCCGTAAGTGTCCAAATGCCTGGATGACCCTCCAACCCTTCTTAGGCTCGGGGCCGCTTCGCTCCGCCTCCTTGGCCCCGAGCCAACCGACTGGAGAGTCGATTTCGCAAGATCAACAGTTCAAAACAACACTTATACCTCCGTTACACTCTGGTATAAATACCATTTTGAACTGTTGACCATAACAGGGGCTGTGGAGTAACAAAGCCTGGGGACTAAAAAGGTAAACATCTTTGCGGACGGGGAAAATCGCGAAAATCTATGAGCAAAAACATGAATGGAGACTTAGCGTATTGAGAACCAAAAGCCCCTGGTAAGCCGAGGTCCGCAAACAATTTTGTGCCTACTGGGAAAAGAACCCCATCGCGAACAAAGCTGGCCCAATGTCTTCCATCAGGTTTGAGTATAGGAAAGAAGGACTGTGAAAACCAAAGTGGGCATCCTAAGATACCTACTGATTTGTGAAAATGCGCCCACTTGAGCGCTTTGGCGACTAACGTAACAGGTGGAACCAACCATAGGAGACCTTCCGTCCAAGCCGATGACTGATCGAATGCGTCGACTCCAGCTGTGTTGGGGCAAGGAAAACTGGAAAAAAATCTTTCACATTTAGTGTTCCTATCATTAGCAAACATATCTGTAGTTGGCTCGCCCCATCTACGAGACAAAGTGTCGAAAATAGAATCGCTTATTCTCCAATCGTCATAATCTATTTGTCTGCTCGCGTTGTCGGCTTCTACATTGAATTCACGGGGTACCCATTTTACTAGTACGTCTATCTTTTTCTCGCGCTCCACTTCCCAAACTTTCTCTGCAAGTTGGTGTAGCAACAAAGATAGGCTACCTTTCTTGGATATAATAGCCGCAGCTTGACTATCGGTGTAAATGAGTACCCTAGACTGAACTTGACTATGGAAGGTATCTAAGCCATATCCCATTGCAAAAAGTTCTCTAGCCGTACTAGATTGCGCTAGCAGGTGCATAGGAAGTTCCCTATAAGACTTGCCTAACTGCAATCCGTGCGCATCTGCCAGTATAGCTCCCACCGAATGAGCAGACGCGTCCACCTGTAGAATTTTGTCAAAGTCAAGGTCTACCCGAGAAGGCGTGAGAGATCGAGACGGGGGCGCTCCTAATCTAGACAACCAGTAACGAATTTCTCGACATTCGTATGTAGATTTCGGCCACTTGCGGCCTAGTCCCCAGTTCTGGGCCTGTGCCCTGGCTACCTCCCTTGCAACGGCCATAGTGTTCCGTTTATCTACATCACTTAGGATAAGATGCATAGAAGCTAGGGTTCCCGACCAGCTTAACCTGTCATGCAAGGACGGCCGAACGTGAGAAAATACACGCAGTTTATCTCTTGCCCTAGCTAGCCTGTCTTCTGATGGTTCTATAGTCATCTCATTCAAATCAATAATGAAACCTAACCAGCTTGATTTTTGTGCCGGGGTCCAGCTGCACTTCTCTTCAGCGAAGAAGAACCCTGCCTTAGTGAGATCGGCTCTAACGACGTCGACTGCATGAGAGCAGGATGAGCTGGAAGGTCCGAATATTAATCCATCATCTAGATATATAGCGGCGCCCAAGCCAAGTGATCTCCACTTTTTGACAAAGGGACGAAGAAGCTTTGTGAAAATATGTGGCGCGGACGAGAGGCCAAAAGGAAGGCACAAGAATTGATAAATCTCTCCTTGCCACTTGAACCCAAGGTATTGTAGGTGATCGTCACAAACTTTGACGTGGTGGTACCCCGACTTGAGGTCGAAGGTTGCCATGTAACCCCGAGAAGGAAGTACATGTAGAATTTTTCCCAAATCCTCAAACTTGCACTTGGGCACCGTAATGAACTTATTGAGGTGGGATAGGTCCAGCACCATTCGCAACTTCTTACCTGTCGCGACAGATAGAGGGTGAATGTGCAGAGAGGGGCGCTGGCTGGCTGGAACACGACGGATAGCTCTCTTCGAAAGTAGGTCTGAAATTTCTGAACTCACGAAACTTGCCTGCTCGAGAGCACTTTTCCTATTTAAACTGTAGCTAGGCTTTGTAGGAGCACTATGAAAGGGTATAGAGTACCCTGATATAATCGTGGTCGTGACCAACTGATTAGGCTCGAGAGCCATCCAAGCAGAAACTCTATCGTGAATAGAGCCAGCAAAAAACTCACTATTTTCTTTTCGGGCAGTCTCGCCACCAGTGACCTTCTTGTCCACAGGTCCTACACTCGCTCTTTCTTCTGTCCAGTTCCCGCTGGAATCTGTAATCCGAGCGATGCGGCGGGGAGTACTCCTGTCTGCGCATGCGACTTCTTTCGAAATACGGTTGGTATCCATAGTGGGTCTTGAAGCGACTGTCGTAGCTTGGGAAAGACGAGGGGCCTTCGGCTTCATACTGTAAAGAGCGGGAAGCAGGTGGCCAAGCTGCTTCCCGCTTTCGAAAGGGAGGGGTTGGAGCCGCTTTTCTCTTCCTTGAAGTAGACTCCTCTTTGGGTTTCACGGATTCGAGAAACTCGCTCAGCCTGGGGTCCGTAACTCTGAGAGACTCTGATTTGTTTTTATTATCTAAAAATTGGAAAACGCCAGGGTGGTCGTCAGCGATTTTCAATGTTTCATTCCTTACAGTTAGATCCTGGATGACTGAAGAGATTACAGTGCCTACCTCTTGGCAATCTTGCAAAGGAACAAGTTTTCTGATAATCGACAAGTTAAAATCGTGTTGACGTGCGTAGCCTTCACGTTTGAAGGTAGGTGCAGAAGAGGTTGAAGGAAACTGGTTTTCAGACCTGATAGCGTCCAGAATGCTCCGTAGATCGCGTCGATCCAATCGAATAGATTCGGGTTGCGCCGGTGCCATTTCCTCCGCAAACACCTCTTCCTCGTGTAAATCTTCGTACGTGTCCTGTGGCGGTTGACGTCCGTCGTCGCCCATCGCAGAAGTCGAATGAATACAGATGTGATGAACAGTCGACCGCTCCGTAAGTGTCCAAATGCCTGGATGACCCTCCAACCCTTCTTAGGCTCGGGGCCGCTTCGCTCCGCCTCCTTGGCCCCGAGCCAACCGACTGGAGAGTCGATTTCGCAAGATCAACAGTTCAAAACAACACTTAAAGGCACCGTCCACCCAGATTTTACTTCCACGTTTTTGCCGTTTCAGGACCTTCTCATGTCCCTGATTCCGAATATGAGGTTGAGAATGCGCGAAAATCCCGATAATCCCTGTTCCGTAGGACCCACAGGCCGGCTTTCCGCAACGGTGATTGGATGGGCTCGCACAAATGGGCGGGCATGGATGGGGGTCCTTGTGCATCTTCGCTATTCCGAAGATATTTTCTCGCTTCCGAAGCGACATTTTGCGCCGCGACTTGGGCATTGGATTGATAGGGGCCCTACTATCATATGCTGCCAAAAGCTCAACACCCTCAACTTAGGGTGGACGGTGCCTTTAAGTTCACCATTTGGTGACCTAATATGATATAAGCGTGTATAGCGTTTGGCTCCGCCTGTTATCACTATATAATTCTACCACTGCACCCCCGCGTGCGGTTGAGCTCAATAAACTCTCTAACTATAACTTTTGCTGTGTTTTACACTTGTACGGGCCCATCCTCAGCCCCTATTTCTCAAAGGGGCCACCCTTACACCTAAAAGCCGCCACAACTTTGAAGTACCTGAATTTAATTTTTTCTCAATTCATAGTAACATTACGCCAAGTGTACGATGACAACAAAACTGTCATATTTCCTCCCCAATATGTGTGTCAGTAATCAACGCTGCGAAACCATACTGCATTCTCGTTGCTGAAAGGTCAACAAAATTTCAGCCCGCATGCGCCTGCCACTGTTATCTACTCTTTACCAACACTCATATTTATTGAAAAATAGCACGAGAACCCAACTGCAAACTAATCAGTGTGTATATGAGCGCGGTGGCTAAGTGGTTATACTGAAGAGAAGAACTCCCATATGTTTGAGTAAATGACGTAATAGTCTTACAAAAGGCAAATTCCTAAGAAAGCTTTCAATGTGACATATTTCTGCTCATTCACATGATCTGCAAACTGTAACATTGACGCATAAAAATGAATGGTCATGAATGATAAGATAATATACGTAATAAACTCAATTAAGATCTGATTAAATATGAAAATTATACAGCAACACGTAAATAGGTAATAGCATTTTATAGTAAAGTCTACAACTAGTGCGGAAAATCGGTAATCATTACCACTGATATCATCTAGTAATTATATGTGAGCAACGAGGGTAACACTATAGGACTATAGGATAGATACAGCGAAAGAAATGATACCACTCTGATTAGAAATAGTGATTTGCAGCGGTGTAATGATAAGGGACACAGACACGACAAGCACCAGACTTAATAACTTTTCAAAAGTCGCATAGTATGGAATGCATAGGCATTGATTGGAAAGAAGACATTAGTGCGTGCAGGGACGGCCAAACCAAGAGATAGACTTCCTTTCATGAAATCAAAACTTCGGAAGTTATGTGAAAGTTGCAGAAAAACAATCTATCCCGCACACACCAATATGGCTAGAATCAATGGCTAGACGACTACGCGATAAAGTATTAACAAATAAAAAAGATCTGAAAACAGAGCATACAATCAAAACCGGATAACTGGTACAAATCATAACGTAACTGGAACTCTACACAACGATCACAATAACTATGCTTAACAGAACGACTGATACAGTTACAAAAACTGGACGCATAATCAATGCCGAAAATTCACAAGCAAAACTTTAATCAACGCTTACGCTCCCTCCCTTGAATAAAAGAGAGAAACAAAACGGAGCCGCGCGACATTGAATGGGATGGAAGATTGGAACAAAAACACTGGTAAATGAGGGAAACCTCAAACCCAAGCATTCCAGGAAAAGTATGCGCTCGGCGCTCTAAAAGAAAAAAAATGAAGAGTGCCATACTGTACAAGACACGCGGCACGATGCAAGTCATTAATTTACACAAAACCTATTTAGAGAGATGAGACATCGTAAGTGAAGGACAACGCCGGAGAAATATAGATGATACCCTAACTGATCCAATAACTAGTAAGAATAACAATCTAAGCAACTGTAGGTGAGCAAATGTAAGCTGAAAAAAAGGAACAGAAAATAAGGAAACACCGAGAAAATCTATGTGATTACCGTAATTTGTAGAAAGAAATGTAGAACCAAACATGTATGTGCATGAAGAAGATATGCAATAGAAGAAACTATATTGCTAAAGGCGTATTCATTGGCACTGCAAAATACCACCCTCAGCGCAGACATATTTGTTATGGAGCGCTTCATGAATATCCAAACACGCCATTTTGCCCACGAATGGCTTAAGATAGCGTGTATGAAAAACTAGCGTAGTAGTACTGCTTTGACTCAATGAAGAAAACATACAAGACGTGTGAAGTTTTGATTCACTTTGCGCATTGAAAAATTGCACTAATACGAGCTAAGTCAAAGCTTCTCTAATATGTACACATAAAACACTCCATAAACTTGATGGCGACATGAACATCAAACGCAAACATCACTGACTGACCCGAGCAACGCCAAAAACACGGGCAACTCGTCTACAAGAGAGATCGACACGCTAGCGAGAAAATATGAGCAAAACTAGGCATCAAAATTTTTGGAGAAAGAAAAGAAAAGGGTTCACACAAATGATAAAAGGCGCGTCGATATAACGAGGTTGAACGGAGCATGCACTTTGGAGGACAACTGCAGGAGCAGGGAACTGGAGTAGAAAAATGTAAGCAAATTGCAATTACCACAGCGCTGCAAAGAAAAAAGAACTAGCGCTAGTGTACGCTGTACCCTTACAGAGCCACTGGACAGCGAAGACGTGCACCTTATGGTGCTCCAAAGGCAAAGGTGGTTCTAACGTATGTAGAGAGGTTTGAAAACAAAAAGAGTATGATTGTGCTTGCAGAGAGTGACGACGTGGCCGCTACCAGCCACTCGAAGACCGACACAACGAGATAGCTAGAACGCACATTTCATTACAAAAGCACTATGGCGAATCAGCTAACTTACTCTAAATTCATTGTGTGTGAAGGACTGCTGCAAAGTACCGTCAGCTGCAAACACCACGACATGAAGATGATTTCCATGGGTGTCTGCCACCAGGACATCACCATTCTTCGAAACATCAATCCCAATCGGATATGGAGTCTGAGACGGTTCCCCCAGTTTACGGATAAACTGACCTGAACGTTACACTCAAAAATGGCAGTAAAGGAATAATAACAATGAATACCATCAGTGTTGAATACTTGGACACAGTGATGTTTGAAGTCGGTTATGTAGACATTTTTCTCGTAGATTGCCACATCGCTAGCTTCCCCAAGATGAGTGGAGGCATCAAACCAAAACACAACCCTCGGTACATCAACATCTAAGAAAACATCGTATGCACTCTTAAGATCGATGACGACCTCTCACCGATGCAGTAAACCACTCCGCTGGTGTCCACAAGAAGCAGATATCCAGCCGTAGTGCATGAGGCGGCTGAAACTTCAATACCGCCGCGCGGCACCAGAGGGACTGCAAGTGATGACTACTCTAACCACAGCGAGGTCCAAACGCATATAGAACAAACCCATGTTGATCCGTTTGATGAACTCTCCTCGTTGATCGAATAACTGAGCCCTGGTCTTACCGTCTACGCCTTTGTCAAGTACTGCATATCTCGTGACTTCACCTTTCAGGGCAATCACTTTTCTCGGAAAACATAGTTGACCATCATCCTTTAAAATCACCTATTTATAGTGTTTGTCAATTATACAATCCAAAGCATTTACTCAAGATTACTTTCTATCCACAAATGGAGGTACTGGAATAGATAAGTTTGCTTATCGTGCTTACAAGTATGCTCCTTTAATCAAGACCAAGAATGAGATTCATGCACAGACGCTGCACGAAAGGTTGTTGGCCTGTTATCCTGTACCTGCGAGACAACTTTCTAGAGCAATGAATAATGAGCCTGATGCAAACAGGGAGCATAACTATTTAGCTCGAAAGTTCTCACACATTTTCAAACTAAATCTGCTATTTCTCGAAATCTAATGCATGTACATGTGCGCAAATTTGTAGTTACTCTCTCTCTCTGTCTCTGTCTCTCTCTCTCCCCGCATCTATCTCTCTCTCTCCGCATCTATCTCTCTCTCTCTCTCTCTCTCTCTCTCTCTCTCTCGCCTGTAGCTGATACTGAAGCAAGTAAGAAAAGCCTAAGGTTAACGTGAGCTAAGTTTGACACTTTTTGACTACCTCGTTTTTCTTGTTGTTCAAGTTCAAATTCCATACAAACTGTGCATGTAAATATGTAAGTATACTATAAATTGGAGCACGTGGGGATTTCATGAGTTTATGGAAGCGGGAGATCTAGGTTAAATTATAAGCGCCTGCAGGATCGCGAGATCGGACGCGCGTACGACCATTGCGCCGCGCACGTCAGATGTGCGTCCGACGACTCAGGTAAGTGCTAGACTACCGTGTTGAACAGGTTCATTCGGTTCACCACCTTGCTGTTGGACAGTGTAGTGATTTGACCTATGAACCGAACGAACCGGCTGAAGCGGATAAGTCTGGCACCTGCCTTAGTAACATCGGACGTGCGCGGCGCAATGGCCGTACGCACGTCCGACTTTCGCGATCCTGCAGGCCCTTCATATAACCCATGCTTTAGAATTTTCGCCCGAATTTTCAGGAAAAAAACATTGATAATGCTTGCGCTTACCATGATTTTGTAGGAACTGATCTCCTCTATCCCTTGATGTGCAGCATGCCCCAATCAGTGCTTACATCGGAACAAAAACTTTGTCGAAATGCAGTGTCTGAGAGTTACACCTCACTTTTATATCGCCCTCGAATCCGCTCCAGAATTTGTAAGCGCATGAGCTCGCAGCGACTTGTGGTCGCTGTAGCCCACGTCATATGCCTGTACGGAAATCTTGACCTGCATCGTTGCTACTAGTACGCCACCTCTGCTTCGCAGAAAATCGCACTGGTTCTACCAACTCAGTTAGTTACTGAACTTATTATGGCTTGATAGACGCTATAATGACCAATGATCACCGTGATTTACTCTGTGAGCAGTTTCCTTCTAGGTGGAAACCTGAAAATCGGCGATTTACTCTACACCCCACTTCTTGACTGATTTCTCTGGAGTCTATGGCTTACAGCCGAACATCCATGAACTCGCAAAAATTCCAAATACGGACCCAGTTTGTGTGCTTTAAAGGCAGTGGCTCGGCAAAACCAAGTATACCATAATTTTGATATGAAAGGTTGCTTGCATCCCAGTCATGAGAACAGAGCAAATCCGAGCGCACAGCATGCTGCCCTCGCCTATAAAAGTGCCCTAAACCCGTGCGCGAAAGCCATTCTTACACGCGCTCGGACGAGCTTGAGATTCCCCTCCGACCGTCAGAGGCGGCATGCCGCAATGCTATAAATATGCTGGTCCCGCTACGACTCTACGTCTCTAACCATGAAGTGAAGCGCTACACTCGTCCAAATGCAAAATGATGAGCCTCGGAGAATGCTAGTTTTCACCATTTTCGCGCTATCAAAAGTGGATTCTTGGAATCAGCGTGTCGAATCACCGCAGGTAAGCGAAAAAATTCAGATCGAGGATTTGCCGAGCCACTGCCTTTGAAGGCACCCTCTACCCTAAGTTAGGGGTCTTAAGTTTCTGGCAGCTTACGATAATAGGACCCTCTATCAAGCCAATGCCCAAGTCGCGGCGCAAAAGGCTTCGGAATAGCGAAGAGGCATAGGAACTCCAAGTCAGCGCCGCCCCCTCCACTATTGCCGCCCATCAGTACGCGCCCATCCAGTCACCGTTCCGGAGAGAGAAAAGGCTCGGAGTTCACTAGAACGGTTGTCGGGTTTTCGCGAATTTTCAACTTCACATTTAGAACCAGGGACATGAGAAGGCCCCGAAAGGACCAAAGCATGGAAGTCGAGAATCTGAGTGGACGGTGCCTCCAATGCAGCGTTCGGGTAGATATGAAATCGTCGGATACAATGGCATCCATCTTGATAAACCTCTTGCCCAAGAGGCATTTCATTGCGCGGCAACCGCTTCAGTGGCAAATGGAACGTTCCCGAAGCGCCCCTCCACTCGATAGCCAGAGTACGTATGTCGCACATAGTCAAGACACAGAATACCACTACTCTGCACTTGGGTGGCAGGAGTCTAAATGCAAAATCAAGGACTTCTGGGATAGCCCATTTTCGACATTTTCGTACTTTGTAAGCTGCATTCTCGGGAAAAAGAATAACCCCAGGCAAGCGAGAAAAAGTTGTTCGAAATCTTCGGGGCTGCCTCAAAGGCAGCGGCTCGGCAGAATTTCATCTTCGGGATTTAGCAGATTTGGGGCTATTCCGGCCCCTGAATCACGATATGAACTCCCCTTAGCTCGAAAATGGGGAAAACCCCGTCTGTTGAAACCCCCCCCCCTCCCTAAGACGGGCGCGGACGAGTGAGTTTTTTCTCTGCCGTCAGAGACGCAGAGTAAGGAAGCAGAGAGCGCTAGAACAATTGAGAGACGAATGACGGCGCGTTTCCTAGCGGAAAATATACTCGTCCGAACAAGATGTTAGGGGAGCGAAAGGAGGAAGGGAATTGGCGGTTGGGCCGCCCCCCCCCCCCCCCGGCTCGAAGAGTTCGCATTTTCGGCGCCGAGTTGCTGTTTTGGTTCGCTTGGAGGGCCTCCCATCCATCTATGTCAAAATCTGAGGTAGGTTCATTCTGCCGAGACGATGCCTTTAAAGGCAGCGTCCCACCAAATTGGGGGTACCTAACTCTGGTATTCATGTAATAGTAGACCCCTTGGCAGTGACTCGGCAAATCCTTGATCTGGAGTTTTTTTCGCTTACCTAGGGCATTTTGAAAAGCGCAAAAACAAAGAAAGTCACCACTTTTCAAGACCTCTCATTTTGAACCTGGACGAGTGGAGCGGTTCCGGCCATGGTTAGAGACGCAGAGTCGTTGCGAGACCCCCATGGTTATATCATTGCGGTATGTCTCCTCTGACGGTGAGAGGGGAATCGCAAGCTGTCCAAGCGCGTGTAAGAATGGCTCGCGCGTACAGATTCAGAGGCAGTTTTCTAGACAGGGGCAGCTTGCCATGCGCTCGGACTTGCTCAGATCTCATGTTTTGGGTGCAAGCACCCTTCCATATCGGAATTTCGAGGCGTTCGGTTTTGCCGATTCACTGCCTTTAACTAAGCGAAGACAGAAGTTTGCAGCACGAAAGGGGATCTAGAAGTCTACAAATCGCCCCCCTCCCAAGTGGCCCGAATCCTACGGTAGGCTCGGGCGAGTAGAAGATGCTTGCAAGGTAGAGGCGCAGAGTCGTTCTGGGTCCCTACACTCATGACTGTGGGCGCTATGCGGCTCCGACCTTACAGTTCGAAATGGATGTGTGGGCGGCGTTCGGGCCTACCATAAGATTCGGGCCACTTCTCAGATAATCGCCGGGGGCAGGCGGTAATGCGAATTTTGAGCAAGCGGGCACCGGAAAAACAGTTCGCTGATTTCTTGCGGCCCGCTTGCAGAAATTTGGAAGAATGTTGACCAATTTTCAGATAAATGCTCGAAGAACTATCGCGGTTTTTCCACAGATTAGTTGCGGCGCATCGGCAGCATTATCCAAAATTATTGAGGGCCGGCGCCTTTGGGGAGGACCGCACAGCCCTCAGCGACTTTCGGCTGGGAAAAAGTACCTCAAACTTGAGTAATTAAAGGCAGCGTCCACCTATAATTTAGACCCCCATGTTTTCGTCATTCTGCGGCCTTTCCGTGGCCCTGATTACAGTTCTGAACTTCAAACTCTTCAAAATTCACAAAAAATCCGATTCCTGGGGACCCTATCTTGAGGGCGCGAGTTTCGAATCGCTCGTCCCCGTCGGCAGGCCAGCGGGGAGGGGCTGCAACTGCATGGGTGCAGTTGCCAGTGTGCAGCTTCTGCTCACTACCATGTCAATACGTGTCAGGAGGCAGTCCCTGGTGGGCGGAGTCTAACATCAGACTCCGCCCACGAAGGACTTCCAGGCCCCTTATCTTCCATTCAGAGACAACGTTAGAAGACAGGACCAATGCAGATACCCCTTTTCTGGGGTCTACATTCAGGATCGACACTAATCGGAGGGGTTAGGTTTAGCCTGGACACTGCCTTTGAACCACCGATGACACCTCTGCAGCATAGAGTGTCACACTCAGACAATCGCCGGGGGCAGGCGGTCCGCAAACTTGCATTTTTCTGCAGGAGGTCAGCAGAATTCTAAGGCGTGGCCAAACCTTCAGCGGGCGGCACTTCCTTTACTGTCTAATGTTCTGCCAGCGGGCAGCAACACAGAATTTTCTGCAGGCGCTCGTCAAATAATCTCTTTCAGTGAGCGCTGGTCGAAATTCCAGCTGGCGCTCGGACGGTTTTCAAGTAGTTTCGAACGTACGCCGATCAAAGGTGAGACTCTACATGGCAGAGGTGTCATCGATGGTTTAATTACTCAAGTTTGAGGTACTTTCTCTCAGCGGAGAGTACCTGGGGGCTGCGCGGCCTTCCACAAAGGACCGTGCGGCCTTCGAAAATCTTGCATATTACATTTCTCGCGGAAAGTCCGCGAGAATGCTGCCACTGCGCCGCAGCTAATCCGTAAGAAAACCGCGATTGTTCTCCAAGCATTCGTCTAAAGTTTTGCCAAAATTCTTCCAAATATCTGCAAGCGGACCGCAAGAAATCAGCGAACTATTTTTCCGGTGCCCGCTTGCTCAAAAATCGCATGGCCGCCTGCCCCCGGCGATTATCTGAGCATTTGCTCGACGTACGCCCGAAACTGCTAAAAAGAGTCCGAGCGCCTGCTGAAAGTTTGGCCCAGCACTCGCTGAAAGAGATTATTTGACGAGCGCCTGCAGAAAACTCTGTATTCTGCCCGCTAGCAGGACATTCGACAGTAAAGGAGGTACCGCCCGCTGAAGGTTTGGCCACGGCCCAAAATTCTGCTGACCCCCTGCAAGAAAACGCGATTTTGCGGACCGCCTGCAAGAAAACGCGAGTTTGTGGACCGCCTGCCCCCCGTGATTATCCGAGTTGGGGGGGGGGGGGGGCGATTTGTAGACCTCGTAGACTCCCCGCGTTGCTTCTTCGTCGCTTAATTAGTGGGTCTACTATTACATTAATACCAGAGCCAGATACCCCCAAACTGGTGAGAACTGCCTTTGAGTCGATTCTGAGATTTTGTGCTTACCCAGGCCCATTCGCTAAGCTGAATCCGAAATCTACACTGCAGAGCAAAAAGGCGAAGGGCTCTAACGCAGGAAGCAAGTCAGACGTGGGCGGGGTCTTACCATTGTGAATTCACGGTCCCGGCTTCTGGAGCAATCTTCTCAATTCCGCTAGCCGTCTCGACATCTCCAAAAGCCAAGTGCGAATGTGTGACTCAAAGGCAGCGTCCGGGCAAAAACGAAAATGTAGAGTACAGGGGCGCCCGGCCTGGTAAGCCTCTTGCCCAACTGGCAATGCACCAATTTGCTTCTGAAGCGAGAAAACCGCTTCAGAAGTGGCGACTAGAACGCCCCGGCGACCGGGGACGAGTTAGTTTGATAAGTCAGAGTGCGCATACCGCACACAGTCAAGACGTAGGGTCCCACAAAGACTCTGCGTCTTAACCTTGGCGGCAGGCAACAAAATTCAAATTAAGAGCTTCTGGAAAAGCCCATTTTCGACGTCTTCGTGCTCTCCAAGCTGTATTTTCGGAATCAGCGGGAAGGATAAGCCCAGGTAAGCGAAAAAAATTCCATCCGAAATCTTGCCCGGACGCTGCCTTTGAAATCGCAACCGAGAAGATCGCTCCTGGAGCTGGGACCTTGAATTAACAGTGGGAAGACCCCAACTTCTGATTTCCCTCCTACGTTAGAGACCTTTTTCGCCATTTTCGAGCTCTCCAGTGTGGATTTTCGGATTCAGCATAGCCCGGGTAAGCACAAAATTTCAAAATCGACTATTTGCCTGGACCTTCAGAGCTGTGTGGATCCATCACGCGCAATTTCTGCAAACTGCATGCATCAGACCCGCGTGAAAATTTCTATTGTACACCTGCATGCTGGAAACATATTTTGTGCAAAATTTGGGCTCCCTTGACTGGAACTAACTTTACAAATTTCGCGACGGACAGACACACAAACACGCACACATGAACGTAAGCAACCCTTAGCCCAGTATTATATAGGTCGTCCGCGCTGCGCAGTAGATTGAAGGCAGTTCACGACTGGAAGAAGCGCAGAGAAAAACAGGCGGCGAGAGTGCACGAGGAAAGAGGAGTGACGCGCAATACACACATTGTGCACTCTCCGCGCCCTGCGCGGACGGCCTATATGACTGCCTCAAGTCTATCTATGCTTCTTCAGAAATGTAAAGAAGACGGAAGGCATAGATATACATTTCATTTCAGAAATCAAGGACCATAAAACAGAAAGACAAGTGGCAACGCAAAGAATGTATAACACATGGAAAAGCTTGCAGGAAGCCGAAGTCTACATAGTGATGTAAAAGTGGAGCGAAAAATGGCGTTTACCCGTTGATTCAACAATATTGGCGGTGGAGATCACCGCTCGCGCTCGCGAGTAGTCATCCCGCGTCTCTCCGCAATGTTCGCAGATCATTCGCTGATCATTCTAGCCTTAATTAGGTCGCGAAGCTTCGCCTTCCAGCCGCCAATCCAGCTGAATCAATGGGTAGTTTTAGAGTCATACATTGGCGCGGAAGTGCACATAGAGCCTTCCCTCCCCCATCCCCCTGTGTTTATACTTTGTCTCAGAATGGCGTATAACTTCTTATCAAAAGTACATGAATGCAAGTGCAGGAGGAGGATTTGAATCAGTGTTTAGTGCCGCGTTTTCCCGTGTACATCCATCGTAGCCCGATGGAGTATGAGCTGCAAAGGAGTGATGCAATAGATTGCTTACCGTTCCTGGTCTTCCTATTTTCCAGGGATGTGGTGGCCCGCATACAACAATACGATGATTGTTTGTATCCGCAATCAAAATGTCATCACTCTCAGACAAACAAAAACCAGAGGGGCAGTGTAGTTCGCGCATTGAACTTCCTTGCTGGCTTGTGCCAAATACACTAGAATTGGTAGATACTTTGAATTCAACGAATACCAAGTAAACAACACCTATGTATCTTCAATTCAGGCACTCGTGTAGGGTTAAGAAGCTCCTGTGGTGAAGCTCGTTGAGCACTACCAAGTAAGGCACCTCCCTCGCCCGGACCGCCTGCAAGCGAAAGTCCTCCGAGTGCGAGCAACGGGTCAACTCCAGGAGCAAGCGATCTCAAGCGCGCCTAGAGTTACTTTCGATAGCGAAAACGTGATAAACTTCCATTTGCATTCACCATCAACAAACTGGGATTTCCAAGTCCGTTGTTCTGGAGAAGGAGCGCTTGGAGCTAGAAAAGATTATTGCTGAGATGAATGAATTCACAATAAAACATCTTACCTGTGCCGCTTGTGCTTGAGCCTGAGCCAGCTTCAACTGATTCGCCCCAACCACCGAAGACGGATGGGTCATTGGTGGGAAGAGACGAAGATCTGCTGATGCCTGCGCAGGGTTTGAAGACGGTGGCCATTGGTAATTATTGTATATCATTGAAGCTGTGCTCGATGCTCCAGTGAGTAAAGGCTAAATGATGCTTCGGCATTTGTGTAGTACTCCTCTCATTTGCATTGAAATTAAAGCTGCACAACTGAGATACCTATTAGTATTTTATAAACTGAGTCACCTACATTTCCTCCTGTAGACGCTACGGAAGAATTGGTGCTGACTGGCTGCCCTATGACTCCAGCAGCTCCCACAGTAAAACTCGGAGGGACAACATCTTTGAGCGGAATGGGTGGTGATGGTGACGGAAGATCTGGTGGATGACTACTTGGTGGCCATCCAAAAGCGTCACCTCCAGGACCACTAATGCGCGATGAAGGCAAACCCCATGCAGACGAAGTGCTGGGAATACACAAAGTATGATGGATGGGTGGTCAAGGTGTGACGATGATTACCTAGTTTTCTTCCTCTCTACCCCGATTGCACCGAGATCGTTGCAAGATCCATGACCGTTGCTAAGCGGGCGACCCCAGTCAGCGGCCACACCTGGCAATATTGTAGCGTTGGCTTTGTTCTGAGCAAAGTCAGACGGAGCCTGTGAAGGCTGCGCAGTGACCGGCTGTTGGACTGAGATAGTTTCTTTGACATTCGCTGATACCATCCGGCCTGAATAAAAAGCATACAGCTCTTCTCTTGATCAGTCGACACCTACCGATTACGTTCCCACAGAGAGCATTCATGTGCGTGTCTAGTTGTTTTTTCGATAGTGGCTGATATTCGAGCTCAACCTAAGATATGATATAAACATGGTTTAGACGTGCCAAGAAATTATATATATATATACATTTAATTTTATTTATTTATTTATACAGAGCGCTCCTAGAGTATAGGGCTCTGCGTGATCACGAAAGTTGGTGAGTTGGCGGCCATCGTAACTAGCATGCCACTTTTCTGCGCCAGCTCCACAGAAACTCAAACTTTGTAAAAAATCGATACAATCGATAACGACCAACGACGGAAAGTAGTCTACGACCTCTTCAAACGATGTTTTGCAAAGTTTGAGCTATGGGGCTAGGAGCAGGCACAGTGGGGAGGGGAAGAGTAAGTGAGCACGCTTAATTTCGATTTACACATCAAAGGCATCGTTCAGGCAAAATCCATGCTACCAGTTACTAACAAGGGAAGGATACTGACTCAGATTCGCCTTTTGAGATGAGACATATGTTTGGATCAGCTTTGAATGCTGATTCCAAATATGCTGTTCCTAGCTGCTTAGCGTTATTCCGAAGCGAGTTATGGGCTTGCTATTGTGAGTTTTCAACAAATCTCTGAATATCATAAGACGGCATGTACATTAGAATGTGCTCGAAAAAAGTGCTGAGATGTTGAATAGTCTTATATATAAAGCTGAATGTCTGTTTGTACGTATGTCTGTATGTCTGTCTGTCTGTCTATGTGTACGTATGTTCCGAATAGAAAATTCCATTTCTGAACCGATCCGGACCAAACTTGGCACACATACACATCGGGCCCGGCGGGTGTCATAGGCCATTTTTCGTCATCGATCGATATCGATTTTATCGATTTTTTGCAAAATTTGAGCTACAGGGCTGGGAGTTGGCACAGGGGGGGGGTAATCGAGCATGCTGATTACGAATATAATAATGGCAGGCCCGGGCTGAGCCGGGTAAGTCAACTAGTATATATATAACTCCTTTGAAGATGTTTGTTAGGTTGTTAGTGCGTTATAGAAACGCCAGCCGTTGAACTGATTCAGCTGAAACTTCGCACACGTATGTTTTCGACCCCGGCGGTGGTTTAAGGTTTTCACCGCACTTCACTGGGCTCTTCTATTGATTTAGTGTTTGTTTACTTAAATTCCAAACGAATCATTTTTCCAAGTCAAGTAGGAAGAGGCGATGAAGATCACTTACACTTTGCAGTGAAATGCGGTCCCACGAATCCAAGCAACTGAAGGAGGACATTATCAATTCGGGAGCGCTGTTGCAGGATCGAAGCAGGAAAGAAAGACAGGATAGCGCTAGGAAGTAAGGCAGTCAAAGAAAAGAGGGTAAGTGAGAGAAAGAGAATTCAGCTGCGCGGGCCAAACATTATTGAGCTGAAAATATTACTACTTCTGTGTTTTGCCGGTCTAATTTGACCCCACACTCCCAGCGTGCAGGCAAATCTGGATCTATGGGGTGCTAACGTGGAAAGTAATCTTGAGGCCCTAAATAAGACTCTGCCCAAACGGCAGCTCAGATAGTGCACTTACGGCTAAAACATTGGGCTCAAAACTATGCCCCGTGACCGTACTCGAATGAATTCCTGACGCTTTCGCGCGAGGATCCACGCGAAACTGATGTGCCGAGCCGTGAATCCATGCGAATACGGTGGCGCGGTACAGTTTGGAGCCCAATATTTTAAGCATGTTGCGCTATCTGAGCTGCCGCTTGGGCAGATTCTTATTTAGGGCCTCAAGATTACTTTCCACGTGAGAGCCCCATAGATTCAGATTTGCCTGGACGCTGCCTTTAATTCTGCGCGCGTTCTGCAGCTGAAGCAGGCAATCGTGCGCAGATTTAAGGTTAATTCTGCGCGCCTTCTGCAGCTGAACAAAATAGTCGCTTAGTCTGGCGCCTACCGTAGCAGTATGGTGAAAAAATGCAAAAAAATCTTATATATAAAGCTGAATGTTTGTATGTATGTATGTATGTCTGCCTGTCTGTCTGTCTGTGTGTACGTATGTTCCGAATAGAAAATTCCATTTCTGAACCGATCCGGACCAAAGTTGGCACACAACACTTCGGGCCCCGGCGGGTGTCATAGGCTACTTTTCGTATCGATCGACATCGATTTTTTGCAATGAGCTACGGGGCTGGGAGTTGACACAGGGGGGTAAGTGAGCATGGGGATTCCGAATACAATATTAGTTTTTAAAATCGTGCATTACTTTTATCGATTTTATCGATTTTTTTTGCAAAATTTGAGCTACGGGGCTGGGATTTGGCACAGGGGTTAATCGAGCATGCTGATCACCCCCGTGGGGGTGATCAGCATGCTCGATTACACCCCCTGCCAAATTCCAGCCCCCTAGCTCAAATTTTGCAAAAAATCGATAAAATCGACATCGATCGATAGCGAAAAGTGGACTGTGACACCCGCCGGGGCCCGAAGTGTATGTGTGTCAAGTTTGGTCCGGATCGGTTAAGAAATGGAATTTTCTATTCGGAACATACAGTCTGCCCCAATCGGGATCAGGCCGAACCGTTGGCTGAATTTGCGCGCTCGCAGCGCTAGGGGATTGCGCTGCATGCGCGCGCTGTCGCAGAGAGTGGAGAGATCGAAGAGAGAGCAGACTAGCTAGTCGTAGATGTGGCGCGAAACCCTCGCGGCGCGGACTCCCGCCATGCCGATTTTGGCCTGGTTAGGATTGGGGCAGACTGTACGGCGGAGCCGGGTAAGCCAGCTAGTGTGATATATAGGTGTCACAAAAAGATGCGCTGAATGCCTGATTGTTGTCTGCATCAACATTTTAATGGAACCAAAAGCGAGCATAGTGGGGCTGGCCTCTGCTTATTGTTAGACCCAACGTTTTCACATAAATCACATTCCTTTGTCGCTTATTATTGAGTGTACCTCTCTTGACAATCAAACAAACACTACATATTTTAGGAGACTGATTAATATGCTAATTGAAAAACCTGGATTCCCAAAGCTGGCATTGTATGTGCCAGATTGTTTAGTTGTTGCACAACTTTGCGACGACTAGCTAGGAGTTCCATTCCATTGGATTTCGAAAGCAGATTACGAGCAAATCTTAACAACACTGTCAGACTAAACCAAATGAAAAACATAAATTATCGCATACCTGAGAGCGTCGCTCACTCTGGCCTCATTCAAATTCATTTTTCTGTACAAATCTTCGATCGCAACCTCTTGTTTTTGGCGAGCTTCTTCAAGCTGTGCTAGCTAAATCTCGGATAAGCTTTGTCATTTGCTAAGTTAAAAAGCAGCAGAATACCTTGTTGGATTTAGCTTCTTCAAGTGCTTTCAAAAGGTCATCAAATGCCATTTCTATGTGAACTTTCGCAGTTTCATACTGCTCATGGAGACTTGCGGAGCGATCAGGTATCGCACTCCATTCCGCCATTGAATCACGCCACTAAAACACCCACAATTAATATTAGTCACCGTTGGTGACTCGCTCATTTCGGCTTTTTTAGGACGCTACAGTCACAAATTTGCTTACGCAAGCCTCGTAGCTGAAGGACGTATACACAACATATAATGCTCACCTTCTTCTCCACTTTATCGGCCAGTTTTTCTATTTCAGACTGAATGGTGTAAACAACTCTAGCGTTGACTTCCACTACCTGAAAGTGTGATGAAATACTGAAATTGCATATGTGTAGACACCCAAAAGAATCCAACTAGTGTGACTGGAACTGTATATAGTGGTTTTTTTTTCAGCAAGGCGGAGGAACGCCTAATCGTAGCATTCTCGTATATCGGATTAGACCATGGCAAAACTCATACTAAGTCCAACCTTATGATTAAGGTGCTCCATTTCGAGGCACACCTTACAGCATAGCGTTTCACATGTAGCACACAACATTTTATATGGAAGCGAATGGGTTGGGCATTGTACCGGGCGTACTTCTCCTCTCTGACCACGCTGCTCCATTTCAACATAAGTCATGACCTGAGATAACCAGCCGCAACATACAAAATTAGTAACGTAGATGCAAACCTCATGACCCTCGAACATACGCATCACCCCATGAGCTGTAAGACAATTGGAGCACAAATCCGACTGACACTGCTTGCAGACAGCTATGGAGGGCTGCTCCGATTTACATGCTCGACATCTACGCTCTCCTATCGCTTCTTCGTTCTCTGCTAGCCGCACCTGGATGAAAACATTTGTGACTCTAAATCAAGACATCAAAAAACATACATAGTCAAGCAGCATAGTGTGCACATATCTGACGTCATTACCGACATGCGACTCCTGAGCGCAGATTGGACAACGAATTACTCCTGGTGGTGTGGGACGCTCTTTACCTGAAGCTCTTTTTTTTACCAAGACTGTAAACTAGACATGATTAAAAAATAGAAAGCAATGGCAGAATCGAAGATGTCTCAAAAGCGGCAGGTTTCTTGGACTGTCCTTCCTCCCCCCCCCCTTCTACTCGATACCTGGTATCTACAAGGCACTACAAGTGCCAGATTTTGATTATAGCGCGATACCAAACACTCTTGCTACGGCAACGCCAATTTCTCGATAGACGTGGTATTTCTCTTGATTTGAAGGCTTAACAATAGGTACGTGCCAGGAGTCACAGTTCTCGCGAAACGATGCCGCACGACGACGTCAAGCACAGTACAAGGGTCGGCCCCCGTCTTTACTTCTGTCGCTATGTTACTTATGGCATCGTGTAATTTATCTGCCGCCACTCCTTCCCCGCCACCTGACCCTCCTCCCCCAACTAGACTACCGCCGTGCTATCTCAGCACAGGAGAGTTCTTGTGGGACATGGGACAAAAATTACCTCTCAGTGTATGCGGCAGAGCAGCCGCCGAGAGCAGTTTGACCCCTAACCTGTGGCTCTCAATGACAGATCATGGCACCTCCTTATATATTTTGTTCGCTAGACTGATCACTCAAAATTCGTCGAGTACTGGCCTCAGAAAATATGAAAGAAAAGAATACACATGACAGGCAACATGGCCCCCTTCGGCAAATGTGACATACGATCTTTGTCAACATTTCAGTTTGGTGCAATGAAACATTGTTTCATTGCACCAAACTGCAGTGAAACATCTCAAGCATATGATCAAGCCATCAAAGATGCATAAGCGAAGCGGAAATCTCCAGCACAAAATGTAACAGCGAACAACATTCAGAGTCGTGATTTCGTTCAAACTCGATCTAAGAGGGTTGATCGACCCGCTGATGCCGAAAATCAAATTAGTGTTGCGCGGTAGAGCCGTTTTCCGGGGTTACGGTAGATACAGAATAGAGAGTCAGAATCATGTTTTCGATGAAACTTGGCTTAGGGGGGCTATTCGACATGCTAGTCACGAAAATCATACTCTTTTCACATGTTGAGGCCTTTTTATGAAGTTACTGTAGGTTTACGGTGGAGGTCAAAATAAGAAATTTGCCTGAAACTTCGCGTTTGGTGTCGGGTGTAAATCGACTCGCCCTACCGTCATGCCTTTCATACAGAACCGTCATCACGCGCGACACACTCTGCGGCAAATCTTCTTCTCCTGTGTTTGCCTAAGCAAACACAGGGGAAGAAGATTTGCCGCGTACCGTACGCCCTACCGTATACCTACCATACCCACACAGGGAAACTTCGTTGAGGTAGCCCCTGTGCCAAATTTCAGGCAAATCCACGATTTTGGCCTCCTGTCGTATACCCACCGTAACCCCAAAAAATGGCGCTATACAGAACCAGTACGATATTCGGCATCAGCGGGTCGAACAACCAACCTACACCGACTTTGCGGGAAATGCACGATTTTGGCCCCCTACCGTATACCCCTACCGTACAAAACCAGTATAATATCTGTGATCAGCGGGCTGAATATCCCCCCCCCTGGGTCAAGTTTTAGCAAAATCCATGACGAAAAATTTTTGGGACCCGCATAGCCAGATAGTACCGTTCGACCGTCCTACCGTATACCTACTGTAGCCCCACCGAATGACATTTTCGTGCAGATAGAGTGTGATATCCATGGCCAGCATGTCTAATAACCCCACAGACTGAGTTAATGTAAAATTCATGACTCTGAAATTTTGGGGCCCCGATACTGCAGATGGGGAAGAACTCAGGTAAGATCCACAAAAAGCTTTTAAGACAGCAACGATACTACAAGGATAAAGAGAACTGGGATAGAGTCGAAACAAGACTGCGACGATTATGTCGGCTGAAATGACAAAGGAGAGATACAGCTCCGTTGGGGTGCCTCCCCCCCCCCCCCCCGCCGCCGTAGCAGGAGTGATAGTTATCGCGCTCTGATCGAAATTCGGCAATTGTAGTGGATGAATTCAAAACGCACAAGCGTAAGTAGTTTTCAACCCAATTTAGGCGGAAATTGGACGGGCGGGAGTCCTCTTCACAACGATCCGCACCTTTGCAGTCTGCGTGTCTTCATCCTGATTTATCTCGCTGAGCCAGCGGCGGTGTTGACGCGCCGATTGAAAAAGACTTTACCCTGATCGGCGACGCGGCAGCGACGCGCAGTTTTCTCCGCCGAGTGCGATAGCGAGCACAAACTTAGTTTCTTTACGTTTTTTGAAGTTAGTTTTTTTACATTTTTGAAGTTTCAGACGCCGATCTTTGTACGCTTGTGTGTTCCGAATTCGCTTTCGACAAGGCTTTCCGAACTCGATCAGCAACAAGCACTATTGTCACAAAGTGGAGCAATCACAGCTTTGTAATGTTGGTGTCTTAAATTTTCGGGTACAGCCATGCGCACATAGATGGTTTTGTGATTTCGTCCGCGAATCTCCAAGAAGCCTACTCCACAATCTGAAATTTCTCCGAAATATCACGCAGTGGAGAGGCATCGTTACATCTGAGGCTCAAATTCCCAATGACGAATTTGGTCACAACAAAATGTTACCTTTGTTAATTTCAAAAGGCCGCGCAGACTGGAAAAAGACACTGAATTGCGAAATCCTTGCTCTATCCGCCGGTCAGCAAATTATGTTTGGGTCCTAACAAAAATGAGAATCAATCAAAGTTGTACATGGTGAAAACGTTGGGTGAGCCTTGGTGAGTGAATTAGAGGAGAACCAAGTCGAGAATATAATTGCTGAAAAGGGAAAGGCGAAATATTTATGGTGGTTTGTTTTTCTGCAAATCCACCCCCACCGCGTCTCGCAATGTTCTCTAACACTAAGTAATTTGTAATCGTCACAGTGAGCAGCCTATGTAAGCAAAAACTGGAAAAGAAATCTGAAAATTATTTTCCACGTTACCTGTTGTAGCGCAAGCTAGTCGTGAACTAGTTCTGAAGGTTACCATTCAGCTACTTCGTTATGGCACGCCTTTGTATATATGATCGGCTCCCAGATTCGTGTGGAGGTGTATTGCAGACTTTGCCTGATAACACATGTAAACTTGCTAAACCTCCACGTGTAGCATTGCTTTTCGTAATCTCTCGCTAGCAAAAACCGCCACGCGGTGAGTTGGCAAGACTCCACCTCCACACGAATCTGGGAGCCGATAGTACATACCGTCATACCGTCTGCGCCCCAGAGCGATTCCCATGTGAACCAGCGTGCGTACGTGGTGCGACGCTGACTTTCGCTCTTTTTGACACGTTTCTCCTGAGATTTCAACGGAAGTGCCCGAGGTTAACACGTTTAAAAGTGCGAAAAGCAGCGAGATGACGTGGTACCTACGAGAACCGGGGAACAAACGATAACTGCTTTAGCTCTGAACTCTCTCCGAACATAGACCTGATGCGAAAATTTCGGTGAACTTCGGCGGGGGCCGTCCAAGGACAGCCGCCGCAATTCTTTTTTTAATAACTAGTAAACCAGTTCTAAAGGTGCTACTTGGAAGAGCGTTCGCTTCAGGACCGCAACGCGGTCGCTACTTGCATATTTTTATATTGAATTAACGATTGTATCTTATTATGCTATTATTGTACCCTATTATTATTATTACCCTATTATTGTACCCTCGATATCCCATATGTCTTCCCTCAACATAACGTGGATTACGTGGATTGATGAGGCGCCGCCTCGCTTCGGGCTCGCGCTACGTTGCGTGCGCATCTTCGGCGATGTGGCAACAAGAACAACGTGGAAAGCCTGCGCCACGTTGTTTTAAACGCCACGTCGAGCCAAAGAAGCGCTCGCAACGTATTGCGAGCCCGGAACGAGGCGGCGCCTCATCAATCCACGGAATCCACGTCATGTTGAGGGAAGACATATGGGTTGATATCGAGGGTATATTGATGAGCGGCAACTCAGGAACTTCACACCCCAGTAGCTGATCTGACTTCGTCATAAAGAGCCTTACTGTAGTTTCAGCCTCAAAGTACAGTCTGCGTCCCAGAAAGGTTCCCATGTGAACCAGCGTGCGTACGTGGTGCGATGCTGCCCTTCGCTCTTTCTGACACGTTTCTCCTGAGATTTCAACGGAAGTGAACGAGGTTAACACGTTCAAAAGTGCGAAAGGGAGCGAGATGACGTGGTACCTATGGGAATCTTGCTGGGAAACAAACTATACATATTTTGCACAAACTATATTTGTAGTAGTATAGGACCACAACTGGTTTCTAAAGAATTTCAGCTTTTGGTGAAAACTACACCCAAAAACCAATTCGAACTTTTCTGCTTTCTACCCTTACAAAAGGTGAGACTAGAATTGGCAACAAGTTTGCAAAGAAGCCGTAAGCTTCATCAATAAGGCAATCAAAAGATTTTCTTTTCGCTTCTTGGCAATATTATTAACAACTGAGTCTACAAATTAAGGCTGAAAAGGATACTTTATCGGTAAACAATCAACACGTATAACTCCTCCAAGCGGTTTTACTTTTCTTTCCACCCTTGTCAAACATTTACTTGACTTTACTGATATTCCACCTTATTGTGGAACATCACTGGTACGCTAAACGCAAATAGCGCGTACAAAAAAGTCACAGGAAACCAAGGTTTCAGTTCCGCCTCTCATACATGCTCCAATAATCGTGTGCTTGAAAGTCGGGACGAATTCGAAACACACAAGCGTACAAAGATCTGCGTCTGAAACTTCAAAAAACAAAAAAAAACTGATTTCGTGTTCGCTGTCGCGCTCGGCGGAGGAAACTGCGCGTCGCCGCCGCGTCGCCGATCAGGGTACGCTTATGGTTTCAAATTCGTCATAGAGTGCCGTCGCCGTACCGGATATCCTTCTACTCACCATAGAATACATTGACTAACCGACGACTTCGATAACCACAGCAAATAACTTCCGGCAATGCGATTTACCGTGTATACTACAAAAATTCATCAAACGACAGTTAAAAAAACAAACATTTGGGAGTTTCCAGTTCACAGTCGTTAGGATTGCGTTTGTCTTGATCTGAAGCTTTTTGCGCATCTCGTCTACCATCCAGCTGTGCTATTATGCAGTCCTCGCACATCGAATGCAGGCAGTCTAATACTCTAGGCTGAAAGAGGTCCAATAGCATGTGCCTACAATAAGGCCAAACCAAACTTACTTTTCTGAAATCCTGATGGCAATAAGGACAATGCGACTGATCATCCAGTGGAAGTGGTTCAGTGTGCAACAGTGGACTGGACGTGTTTGATCTAGAAAATAAGAAATCTTAGTGGGGTATAGAACAGTCTCATCAGTCCGTAGACTTGGCAATTCGATTTTACGGTCAAATGTGTGTATATGTGTGTATATGTGTGTATATGTGTGTGTATGTATGTGTGTGTATGTGTGTATGTGTGTGTATGTGTGTATGTGTGTGTATATGTGTGTATGTGTGTGTATATGTGTGTGTATGTGTGTATATGTGTGTGCGTGTGTGTATGTGTGTGTGTTGTGTATGTGTGTATGTGTGTGTATGTGTGTATGTGTGTATATGTGTGTATGTGTGTGTATGTGTGTGTATATGTGTGTGTATGTGTGTGTATGTGTGTATATGTGTGTATATGTGTGTACGTGTGTGTATGTGTGTGTTGTGTATGTGTGTGTATGTGTGTGTATGTGTGTATGTGTGTGTATGTGTGTATGTGTGTTATGTGTGTATATGTGTGTATATGTGTGTGTATATATGTGTGTATGTATGTGTGTGTATGTGTGTATGTGTGTGTATGTGTGTATGTGTGTATATGTGTGTATGTGTGTGTATATGTGTGTGTATGTGTGTATATGTGTGTACGTGTGTGTATGTGTGTGTTGTGTATGTGTGTATGTGTGTGTATGTGTGTATGTGTGTATATGTGTGTATGTGTGTGTATGTGTGTGTATATGTGTGTGTATGTGTGTGTATGTGTGTATATGTGTGTATATGTGTGTACGTGTGTGTATGTGTGTGTTGTGTATGTGTGTGTATGTGTGTGTATGTGTGTATGTGTGTGTATGTGTGTATGTGTGTATGTGTGTGTATGTGTGTATGTGTGTGTATGTGTGTGTATATGTGTGTGTATGTGTGTGTATGTGTGTGTATGTGTGTATATGTGTGTACGTGTGTGTATGTGTGTGTTGTGTATGTGTGTGTATGTGTGTGTATGTGTGTGTATGTGTGTATGTGTGTATATGTGTGTATGTGTGTGTATGTGTGTGTATGTGTGTGTATGTGTGTGTATGTGTGTGTATGTGTGTATATGTGTGTGTGGAACGTGTTCCAGGCAACCTCCTGAGCCCAAATTTTGCACAGTGGCTGCTACCAACATGAGAGTACAGCACGAGCGGATCCATTGTGACAGAACAGATTTGGCAGTCGTTGCAACTTTCTTACGATTTTACGGTCAAATGTGTGTATATGTGTGTATATGTGTGTATATGTGTGTGTATGTGTATGTGTGTGTATGTGTGTATGTGTGTATGTGTGTGTGTATATGTGTGTATGTGTGTATGTGTGTATGTGTGTATGTGTATGTGTGTGTATGTGTGTGTATGTGTGTGTATGTGTATGTGTGTGTATGTGTGTATGTGTGTGTATGTGTGTGTATGTGTGTGTATGTGTGTGTATGTGTGTATGTGTGTGTATGTGTGTGTATGTGTGTATGTGTGTGTGTATGTGTGTGTGTATGTGTGTGTATGTGTGTGTATGTGTGTGTATGTGTGTGTATGTGTGTGTGGAACGTGTTCCAGGCAACCTCCTGAGCCCAAATTTTGCACAGTGGCTGCTACCAACATGAGAGTACAGCACGAGCGGATCCATTGTGACAGAACAGATTTGGCAGTCGTTGCAACTTTCAACTACAGTATAGGGCCGCCATTTACAGGGTATTCGTGTCGGGACCTTTAGTGTCTCGGTCCTTCGAAAATGAAGTTTTGCATGGCGCTATCCGCCATGCTATTCCTACCGGGCTGAAGGAGGTTCCGCCGCAGAAGTTTACTAAGAGTAGCGCAGGGGAGGCATATCCTCCCTGTGTGACATCAGCCCAAATCACTCGGCCCAGAGTGCTCGCAAAAAGTTGTGGAGTCAGGAAGTAAAGTTGCAGCGGCATATTGATCGAAGCCGCCGCTGAATCTAGATGCATGCATTTGCTTTGGTATTTGACTAGTGATCTAAAATTTGCATGTTCTTATCGTTAGTGAAGTCATTTTCTCTTTTTTCAAGTCGTTGTTCTGTGAGGGCTTACAGCCAATGAGCTCAAAACAAATGGTCAATACTATAGATACTAGCAGGTCAAAGCTGGTGAGTTGTTTTGTTTAGCATTGTGTTTGACTTCATGAAACCTGAAGTGAGTTGCAGACAAGAACTGGTGCATCCCTCAAAATTGTCCCGTAGGTACTATATACCATCGTGGATGCCTTTCAATCGTTTCAACACGTTGACTCAAGCAAATTTGAGCGCTCCGAACTTTACATGTTAGAGCGAACGAAGGACAGTTACGTTGGTAGTATCCAGGGGAACGATTCTGAGGGATGTACGATGCAATGGGCATCTCTTGTTGATTTCTGTCACGCATGTTCATCAAAGCTCGGATACTTAGATAGCTATGCAAAGAATTTGTCAAAACTTATAGAATCTTGCCACTTGCAGTAGATGTAAGCTCTTTCATTGACCAGTGTGCTGGTTTCCGGTAACATCAGCAAGGGGAAATAAGAGTTTTGACAATAAAATTATTCATCAATTACTGATATTGGGATGCGATGTGAACGAACTTCTCTTTCTGTCTAACGAGAACCACAATGTATAAGTGAGAACAGTATGCTACATCAATAGGGATTTGTGGCCTATGCTGTAAAGGAGTTCTGCAGAATACCAGTCCAGAATCACTAGCAAACTTGTTTTTCAGTATAATATTTCCGAGCATTTGATAGTAGCGTAGAGCCAAAGCGGGCTAATAATCAATTACACAGCGATCCATGATGTTAAACCTATCGCTATATCCTCAACAGTGACTCAAGCCACTACTAGTTTGGTTGACAAGCTAACAAAACTGTGTTTGCTGAGAAAGGATGGCTATCATTGGATTGTTGCATATCTTATACTAGCTGGCTTACCCGGCTCCGCCGTATCCGGACCAAACTTGGCACACATACACTTCGGGCCCCGGCAGGTGTCACAGTCCACTTTTCGTTATCGATCGATGTCGATTTTACCGATTTTTATCGATTTTTTTGCAGAGTTCACCTACAGGGCTAGGAGTTGGCACAGGGGGGAAGTGAGCATGGGGATTCCGAATACAATATTAGTTTTCAGGATCGTCCATTACTTTTATCGATTTTATCGATTTTTTTGTAAAGTTTGACCTGCGGGGCTGGGAGTTTGCACAGGGGGTAATCGAGCATGCAGATTACGAATACAATATTAGTTTTCAAGATCGTCCATTACTTTTATCGATTTTATCGATTTTTTGAAAATTTGAGCTAGGGGGCTGGAATTTGGCACAGGGGTGTAATCAAGCATGCTGATTACAAATATATTATTCACAGGCCCAAGCGGAGCCGGGTTTGCCAACTAGTGCTATTATAATAGTTTCTTGATTACTCATTTAGTTCTGTAATCATCTCACCTAATTACAAGTACAATTTTGAACCATATTGTATGCGATTAACGCTCGTCATAAAGAGGTGAGGTGTTTCAGGAAGTCTGATCAGTGATAGCATGTCCAAAACCTCTTTGCTCCTACCTAGATAAAATAGCAATGACTTGGAAAACGAGTAGTCTTTTTAAACCCTGGCATCGCTCTAGGTTAGTGTCTTAGTGTGCGTATACCAGACCCAACTTTCACTATCCTTGTACTTGTTCCTTTTGTGATCCATAAAGCACAAAAGCCCTCATCAGCGAGTTTGATCCCTCGGAAAACGATTGGAGACAAAGTCTCCGAACTGGCTGACATACAAAAGTCCCGCCACGAATACCCTGTACATGGCGCCAGAATACTGTAGTTGAAATTGCAACGACTGCTAAATCTGTTCTGTTCCATTGTGTGGATCCCTCAAAAAATGCGCGTCAACCGGATCCACTTGGCTTTTGGTCAGTAAAATTGAGTCTGTAGCGCAACTTTTTGCAAATTCACGGATATTTTTGACAAGTTAATGTGCAAGCCATGGTCTTTAGCCTAGAAAATTGAACTAAAGTTTATTAGCTTGCGAAAACGGCGCCAAAAAGAATTGGTTTGGTTGCGTAAATGTTCAATTTGCCAAGAATTTAATCAATCGTTTGAGAAGGTATTTGCACAGATACAGTCGAATCATTTCATTTGATCATGTGTGTGCAGCCGCACACATCGTCCACTTTGGCGTTCTCATCCTGAATTTGCGATCGCAAAAACACAAGAGAGTAACAGTTTGCTATCACTTACATCATTTTGAGGTGAATAGTACCTAAGAAGCAAAGGAAACATCGAGAACACATCAAAAGCACTTAACTAAAGGGTTGCCTCCTCCAGGAATCCAGGATGGGAACGCCAAAAATGGACCGTGTGTGCAATGACACACATCTTATATATAAAGTTGAATGTGTGTATGTATAACTGTATGTCTGTCTGTATGTACGTATGTGCGGAATAGAAATTTTTATTTCTGAATCGATTTGGACCAAACTTGGCAACATATACTTCGGGGCAGGGAGCGTGTCATAGGCTACTTTTCGTTATCGATCGATATCGATTTTATCGATTTTTTGCAAAATTTGAGCTACGGGGCTGGGAGTTGGCACAGGGGGGTAATCGAACATGCTGATTACGAATATAATAATGACAGGGCCGGGCGGAGCCGGGTTTGCCAGCTAGTGATCATATGAAATGAATCGACTGTATGTAGCCCACGGTGACTATGGTATCTTACCGCGAATTTCAAGCCATGAAAAGTCCAAAAACCAGTTCAAATTTGCACTTCTTCTTTCGAGAAAAGTTTCGTTCATGCGAAATTACCGATCTCATATGGAAATGCTTTTGGAGTGAGTAGTTGTTTACAAATCATTCGTGATTGTCCGCATAGCGAGGTGAGTTCCAATGTCATTATTGTGCGAGAATGAGTAAGACATACAGATAGTAGGGCCAGTGCGAGCCTCTGCGAAGCAGAGGTGAAGCACTGGTAATAAATAACATCTACTTATCAATAGTGATCATTTGAGCTGAGCTATGTAGTAATGTGCCAACACTGCCTTTCAAAGCATGTATTGAAATCAGTTCCAGGCAGGCTGAGAAAGACATGATCACGTTGTTATCGCAGGAACTGTTTATTTAAGTATAACAATAGCAGCAACAGCTGCTATAGGAAAACCAACCTATTTGCTTCTTTCTCCCGACTTCGATCAAGGCTAGGCGGACTGGCTGAACTTTCGGCTTCTTGACTCTGCGGCGAGTCTAGACGACCGTTCTGGTCACCCATTATGGGTTCAATGTCGCCTGAATACAGAGGAACTCTTGAGTTGCAATGAGCACCTATAAACGCGACAGGAAAAAGGCATAACCTTTGCTACAGTTCATAAAACATATCTATATGAGACAATAGTGAGGCATTAACGCATAAATACATATTTCAGAAGCTTTGGCCAGTGGATACTTCAGGGGCGGTTATCAATCTCCTGTATAGGAAGGGGTTCCCCTACAGGTCAGCCCTACAGGCGCGGGAACTGATGCCCGCGATATATGAGGCCAAGCTGGTGACCAGACTCCTGTCTATTGAAGAATATGGTCCGATCTGGCAAGTTTGGCCATATCGGGCACGGCAGTTGGGCAGCAGTTCCCCACTCGACGAGTCGAGCGGCGCTGCCCGTTTGAGCCGCGCTTCCCAGACTTTCATTAATCGCGAGAAGGGCGCTCTCGCCTGTGCGGGCTCTCGTTAACAATGGCCCGCACAGCGAGTGGGAGATTGATAAATACCTCCCCAGATGATGCTTCCTTCAAAACCTCGCAAATCTACTCTCTCACTCTCTATATACCTATCATCTCATTCTCTGACTAAGAGACGCGAGCACACTTTGCTTCCTTCAATTAACACGTTCCGGACCGCGAAATCGCGCGCGGTGAAAAAGAGGGTACTTTCAGCCGTTCCAACAAAGGGACCTTAAATCGTAGATTGTGTGCTACATCTGTTATCAGCATGTCAGATAAAATACCCAGAGTTCTGAGTGAATTCGAAGTGTTTGAATTTTTTCGTCTGAGAAGGACTTTCGTGCTTTACTTGAAAGATAGGAATAAGAACTCAGGTTCTAATTGTATCCAGAAGTATCTATGTTGTACGCGATACACATCATTATAAAAACTACGGTTTTCCTCTCTGTATTCAAAGCTAAGAAAAGCTGCGACGTCGCACGCGTCGTTTGCGTTGCCGCACTTCGTTGCAACTGATGTTGATTTGTCCTTATATCTCCTGAACAAATAAGGATGGTACAGCTCTACAGACCCTTTCGAAAAGTAAGAGCTTAGGCCTTTGACTTGATAACCTTGGACAAAAAGAAAACTTCCTCTAAATGTTGAAAAGATCCTTCAAAGATGCGTTCTGCACCATGTGCAGCACCGGTCCGAAACGTGTTAATAAGTTTACGAATGAGTTATAATGCGCTCTAATTGATTTACTACTAGGTTTTTAGATGAACATGTTAGATCTCGTTCAAACAAGGCAAGTTGGAACATGTTCTTTTCACGAATTACCATTAGTAATTTACCAAAACGCGGTAGAACGCATTTATGAACTTGTTAATCAGATGTAAGCGTGCTCGCGTCTCCCAGTCTATCCGATCTGCGTTGGTGCAATCCTTTGACGTGCCCTCTGAAAGGAGATACGAGACTGTATACGTATCACAAGCCGCCCTTTCGTATCACAAACCACCCCTGAGGACGAGTGCTTACGCAGGTGTGCGGTTGCGTCGCAGTTGCATTGCAGCTGCACTGCACACTGCAATGCAACTGCATCCGTACAATCGCAGCTCCTCCCGCTGACATGACGATGGGGACGAGCAATTCGAAACCCGTCCGCTCCTTGAAAAGAGGGTCCTCAAAAACCAGGTTTTTTTGGGAGTTTAGAACAATTTGGACTTTACAACTGTAATCAGGGCCACCACGGAAAGGCCCCAGAATGGTAGAAACATGAGAGGCGAAATTTTGCCCGGACGCTGACTTTGAAGGCAGCGTCCAGGCAGATCTGGACCTATGGGGTTTTTACATGGAAAGTACTTTTAGGGCCCTAACTAAGGCACTGCCCAAGCGGCAGCGCAGGTAGTGCTCTAACGGCTGAGATATTCCCCTCGAAACTGGACCCCGCGATCGTATTCGCATGGATTCTAACAGTTTCGCGCCAGGATCCACGCTTTGCGCCATGAATCCATGCGAAATACGATCGCGCGGTCCAGTTTCGAGGGAATATCTCAGCCGTTACAGCACTACCCGAGCTGCCGGTTGGGCAGTGGTTTAGTTCGGGCCCCAAAATTACTATTCACGTGAAATCCCCATGTGTCCAGACTTGCCTGGACGCTGCCTTTAATTTAATCTCTGACTGCCGACACGTATGGCTATGTAGCAACATGCAATTACGTGTTGCTCAGTGATGGCAAACATCACATTGCCGCCAACATGCTAGCATGCAGGCGACAAGTTGTTGCAAGTTGCCGACACATTAGACACGTGCCGCGGTCAGAGATGCAAACCAAAGATAGTAGCAGTCGTAAAGTAGTATCAGTAAGGCCTCGGGCAGAGTTCACGCGATTTGTTCGTCGCGATTCAATCGCTACAGACAAGTGTAACAACATCATTGCATGCCAATCTTCCTGCATTTCGGTTGTAATAGTTTTCCAACACGACTAATCGTGACTAACTATCACAACCGAAATACAAGAAGATCGGCATGCAATGAACTCGTAACACTTGTCTTGTAGCGATTGAATTGCAACGACCAAATCGCGTGAACTCTGTTCGAGGCCTAAAGCATAAACAAGTCATAGCAGAAAACCTTCAACTAGTCAGGAAATTCTGGAATGGGAAAAGAGAGCGACGAATACAAAGAAACAAGAAGAAAAAACACTTACGTTCATTGCCAAGGCAATTTAGTAACGCTTCCGTAAATCCAGAGTTGTGGATAAGTGGAAAGAATAAGAGAAAAAAATGGATAAGCCATTCGAAGTGGTGAGTGGAAACAAGTGAGCAATGGAAGCGCAAGTCATATGGTGCTAAGCATGGTGCACCAGTT